TATATATATATAATCAAACAACCTCTAAAGAAACTCTGAACACTTTTTTTAAGCCTGAACTAACTACAGTCTGCTTAACGTCTTTGATTCTTTATTTTAAATAAGACTTCACGTTCAGATTATTTGGGATTAAAGAAGCTTTTTGTCAAAAAGGACATGTTCTCCTTTAAACATTAAAACTTAAAGGGAAAATTCTGTTCCTGGTTTTTTGTCAGTGGAAAAAAAACTCTACAAATAAATCAGTTTTAAAGCCAGATGAGTTACTACATTTTATCAAGAAACTGATGTAAGGTTTCTGTGTAATCTGAAATCTGTTGTGTACAAAATAAAATCAGCTGATTTCTGTGAATATTCAGACAGGAAGTCATTTCTAGAAAGAATAAGACAAAATAAAAATGCTGCTCCGTTCTTTTATTTAAAAAGCTGAGTTGACTCTGAGCTCTGTTTGTGTTTTTAATGAAACTTTAGAAAGATCTGCTGATGGAGCTGCACAGTGTTCTGCAGCAGCTCAGTACCACGTCTCACTTGGTACGGCCAACAGAACAGGTTTGTGTTAACGCAGCTGCGAGGATCCACATCCAGACGGACAGTGAGTCAGTTCTGCAGACGAAACAAAACCCGGTTCAGAAACAAACTGGTCTGTGTGAAATGCTGCTGTTTACTCACAAATATTTCACTTTTACATTTTACCCACAGTAAAACTAAGTCTATTTGTAAAGTATTAGTATTTTTGTGTTTCTGACCTGTCAGGAGGTCATGAGGCCTCAGAGTTGATGCAGAAGCAATCGATGAGTCTGAGTTTGGGATTTGTTCATCAGGAAATGTTGGCAGGAAACACAGGATGATGTTGAAATGTGTCTCCACCCTCTGAGCTGTGAGAACCATAAATCTCTTCATGTGTCGAAGAAAAATCTGTTTATTTAACAACAAAACCAGATTCCCTTCATTTATTCTGTTTGTTTTAATTGAAAGAAACTTGTATCTCTAATGAAGTCAGTGTCTTTAAAGCTGTCTCGCCTCGTTTATTACTGTTGAAAAAATAATTCAGAGTAAAGTAAAGTTTTATTTATACGGCGCCTTTCACAGAAATCAATTCACAAGGTGCTGTACATTCAGGGAAGGGGGCGGGGGCAGTTAAGAAACAGCCATTCAAGAAGACATACAAGACAAACATGGGGGAACAGGTGACACCGGTCACAGTTGTGCTACTTTTAACAACAGCTTGAAATACACAAAAGGAAACTTGAGTTAAACAACCCACGAGAGAGCAAGACAGCCTGGGGGTGGGGCTTAGGCCAGATAACACATAAAGGGGAGGTAAAATGGGGCAGGTTCAGAGGAGTAGTGTAAAACCCAAAGTTTCCTAGAATATAAACAACCATATAAAACTTCAACCTAAATAAAAATGTCTTTTTATTTGACTATGCTGCATTCAGTGTCTCATACTGATTGTTTCAGGGATTAAGCAACCAAAAGTCGTGCAAACTTTCAAATTAAAAGCCCAAATCCAGATTAAGATGTTGTTTTTTCTCTTTACATTGGTTCTCTTTGGTCTGTGGCAAAATAAAAAAGTAAACGTTTATTACAGATCTGAAATATGGAGGTAAATATAAGAAAAATCAACCCTGTAAACAGATCCAAACACTGGATTTTATCTAAACAGATAAAATTGATTGAAAATTTTTCCAACATCTGTGAAACATAATATCTTTATGTTTTATGTCAAACAAAATGTTTTTTGTTTTCAGTTTTCAGTCAGAAAATTAACTAACTGTGTATCTTTGGGTTTTATGTGTAAATTGTTAAGTTTCATCGGCATATTTGTTAATAATAACCTAAATCCCACCAGTTTTATTTGTTTGTTTGAAAGCTTCTTTTCTTGTTTCCTTTTTTTTTTACATAAAGTCCAGAAAACATGTCTTAAATAAAAATAAAATGATCAGAAGTCTCTAAACTCTTCAAGACCCAAATATCTGTTTTTAAATTCTCTTCAGTTTCCTTTTTTCTGTTTATCGTTTCAGAAATCAGTTTGTGACGTCAGCTTGGATCAGAAAAAAAAATCTTTTTTTCCTGGTGTTTTATGTTTTTAAAATAAACATAAAAAATACATTTTTGCTTACTAAGGCGATGTCAGAGAGTCAGAAAGCTGACACACATCTTGAAACAGAAGTCACAACACTGTTTTATTTCCACCTGATTGCACAAACATGACCTGAAACTGCTCAGAAAACAGGCCTCCCCAGCGTTTCCGTTGGTTTCAGAAAGCAGGAAGCAGATTCACTCTTCTGAGTGAGGCGTGTGGATTATTAGCAGACTGTAGAAACAAGTGGAGACGCTGCTCAAACAGCAGAATACCTCAGCTGGGCCATGAACAAGAGGAAAAAGAGTGAGTTGGATTTTCTTTGTCGTCCTTTCATGATTGTAAAAAAAAGAGTTTTATTTGTTGAACTTTGCATTTTGAAGGAAATCATCACAAACTTAAAAAAATCAACATGACAGCACTTTGAATGTGTTCATTTGATTTGTAATGATCTTTTTCTACTTCTGATGAATTCAATAAAAGAAAGAAGATAAAGAAAAAACTTTACAGTGATTTTTGTTTTAATACGTCCCAGACTGTATGTAGTATAAAACCATGTCTTTTTGTGCCTCATCTGAATATGAGTTTTCAATTTAAAACATATTAAAAAAAGGAAGAATTATAACAAGTATCAATGATAAATACAAATCTGCTCTGATAACATCTACAAACGTTCAACGTTTAAAATTCAGCTGAAGTGTCGGGAATTTCCAGAGTCGACAACTTACTGGACCGAATGCTACGACTCTGTGATGCTGAACTCAGAAAACAGAAACAGGCTCAAGGAGCTTAAATCAAAATAAAAGTCTAAAAGCATCTGAAATGGGAAAGAAGCAAGGGGACAGGATGAGGAGCAGGGATGAACCAGACATGGTGTGAACACACAATGCTCCACTGAGGAGGGAACAAAGGCCGACAGGCTGAAAGGACCGGGGCCCGCAAAATTAGCAGAATTTGTCTGGTACCGTTCTGGCCCATATTTGACCCAGATACCGCAAAGGATGACGATCCTCTGGTGGTCCAGATTTGGTTTGCCAGATGTGGTCCATGCCTGGACCAGTGTCATCGTTGCCATGCCTTAGTTAGTGTTTGTTTACTCCCTGTTCCAGTTTAGTTCCTCCTCCCAAGCTCCGCCCACACCTGATCCAGGTGTGTCTCATGTCCCCTCATTAGTTCTCCCTTTATGTCTCGTCTTCCCCTCTGTTGGTCCGTTGTCCCACTCCATATTAAGGTTGTCCTCTGTGGTGCTCCGTGTCCTCAAAGTTTTTTTTTTTTGATTTTGTAAATATATTTGTGCTGCCCTGTCAGCCTCATTGTTTTGCAATAAAGGAAGAAAGAAATCAGAGCATTTCTCTGAGTGAAACAAGATTTCTGATTCAAACAGATCACAGGAGAGAGGTGAAATTCTGCTTGTGTTCAGGCCCTCGAACAAGTAAAAACAGAGATGTGGTGTGAGACGAGTCAGGGAGTATTTGTCCTCTTTCTGGACCCTGTAAACAAATCATAAGCTGGTCTTTGTGTCGGCGGCTCAGCTGAAGGCAGAGCTGAAGAAAAGACATGGAGCGTCTGTCCTCTCGTTAACTGTCCAGTTATTCTAATGAAATCTCTGACTGGAGCAAAAAAAAACCACTAAAAGTTTCACCTTTTTTCTTTTGCTCTTTAAACAATCTTGATCAATTATTTGGACTTTTCTGAAGGATGTTTAAATTTTTATGCTTTGTGATTTTGGCTTCTGTCTTCGCTCATTATTAGTCCTCATGACCATTTTCAGGTGGATGTTTTGTTGTACTTCCAGAAAAATATAAAATCAACATCTTGAACCATATTAGTTTGAAATATTAGGATTGTAGCTCCAATGAGGTGAACTTTTCTGAGGTCGATACTCAACTAAAAGGTCTCTCAGATCCTGTCTCTGATCTTTCATTTCCTGTTTAATAATAAAAACATAATTTTCATGTTCAGGTTTGACTGTTTCTGTCCTCCATTTGGCAGGTTTTCACACACTGAGGCCATAAATCACACAAGAAAATGCTTTTTTAAGAACTCGATAATGTTTTTGCAGAAGAGCAAAAAAAGTTACAGACTGAAAAACAAGACAGATACAAAACAAAATAAAAATTGCAGAAACGAGCACAGTAGTTTCTGTTGGACATTATTGAGATTAATATGATTTTTTAAATTTTATTGTGTGAAGATTTTAGTCGTTAATGTATCAAAACATTCAGCTCATTAAAAAGACACAAACTACAATTTTTATGTTCTGCTTTTCCCTTAACTTTTTTAATATTTAACTTTATAAACATTTCTCCATCGAAAGACATTAAATACATTCTTGCTCTTTTATCTTCTTATACCACTTTTAGTTTTTAGCTTTTTCTTTGCCACTTTTAGTGAGCTTTTAGCGTTTCTTTTTTAGCTTTTAGCCATTTGCCATTTAGCCATTTTTTAAATAGACTTTTGCTACTCTTGTCTTGAGTTTTGCTACTTTTAGCTAGCTTTTTGTGACTTTTGGGTTTAATGTTTTGTGTAGCATTTATGGACTGGGTGGTAAATGGACTGTACTTATATAGCGCCTTTCTATCCATCAGGGACACTCAAAGCTCTTTACACTGCAGACATTCACCCATGCACACTCACATTCACACACTGATGATGGCAAACTACACTGTAGCCACAGCTGCCCTGGGGCGCACTGACAGAGGCGAGGCTGCCATACACAGGCGCCACCGGACCCTCTGACCACCATCAGTAGGCAAGGCGGGTAAGGTGTCTTGCCCAAGGACACAACGACTGAGTCGACTGGACGGGAATTGAACCAGCGACCTTCCGGTTCCAGGTTGACTCCCTTGACCACTCTACCACAGCCGCCCCAAATTTAGCATTAGGCTAGCTTTTTGGTACTTTTAGACAGCTTTTTTTTTTTTTTTCATATTTTCAGTTTCTAGCTATCTTTGTTACTTTTATGATAATTTTGGCTTTGACTTATTTTGAGCTACTTTTGCTTTTAGCATTTTGCTACATTTAGTTTCCAGCTAGTGTTTCCTGCTTTTGGATTGAGTTTTTAGCTTTTTGCACTATTTGGGTTCCTAAGGTTTTGCTTCTGTTAGCTTTTAGTTAGCACTCTGCCTTTTTTTTTAGTTTTAACAGCTTAGCTTTAACATTTCACGCAGCCTTTTTTTGCACTGCGGTTTTGCCTAAAATTCAATTTCTGTTTTTTTTATTCTTTTGTCTTTGACCTCTTCCATTGTGATGCAATAAGGGGAGTTTTTGTGTTGTGATTTTTATTCTCCTTTTGACTTTGCTGCTCTGCTCTCTGAAGGTTTCAGCTCCATCTGAGCGAAGCGTTATCAATCATTTATTGATGTCCTGAGTTCGGCCTCGTAACGATGAGTGATGTTTCACTGTAAACTGCCGTCAGACGGAGGTTTATGCTTTTATGAACCGTTCAGAATCAAGCAGCAGCTGCTGTCACAACTGTTTTAACGTCAGAGTGAGTGAAGACTAAATCAACACAGGGTGACTCAGTGTGATGGTTTGGGTCATGTTCAGGGTAAAGTCCGAAACCTTACCCCTGAACGTCATTAACACACCTGCTCTGTGTGAGACAGTAAAAAGGAACAAACAATCTGCTTTTATTACCTTTTATTTGATTGATACTGTTTCTGATTATCTCACACCTTTATTCTGACTCCACTAGATGTTAGAAGTTCTGTTAATATTTAACTAAAGACATGCAGAGGGCAACAAAAACAGAAGCAAACTTCTGACTATTTATCCTTATTTCGATTTGTATTTACACACCGAGCACCCTGTGATACTTTTATTCTGAAATCTTCTTTGCAACAGCTGAGAGACCCACAGAACAAGTGACCTTCATGAGCAACCGATGAAAATTCTACAGTAGGGGTCTTCAGTATTTTTTAGTCTAGGACCCCCAAACTAATGGAGAGACTGAGCAAGAATCCCTTATATAATGAATTAATTTTTGACTATCATGTTGTAGAAATATTGCAATAATTACCATACTACTAGTAAAAACATTTTCATTTTTGACTGAAATACATTATTTTATGTCTCCGTTTATCGATTTGCTACATAGCTCATGGTAATGTGTGTTTAACAACATACCTCCGGAAAAAAATAAAATAAAATAAATTAAAAAAAACATGCCCAAACATTTCGCGACTTACCTGAAGTACCTTTATGTCCCCACTAGGGGGTCTCAACCCCAACATTGAAGACCTATTAATGTTTTTATTTGTTTACACTTTACATTTTTAACTGTGAAGTTTTTCTCTTGTGAAAAGACGTAAATACATGTGTTTGAAGGCACGTGATGTAAAATGTAACACCATAGTAACACGGGGTAGTGCGTGTCATACATGCAGCCTACCTGTGGTTTACGTGGGCCGTGGTCTTGGTCGGCTGCAGACCCTGAATTGAGACACGGCTAATATCAACTATACTCTAATAAAAAGTTATAGAATATGTTTTGTCGTTCCACATTTCTAGTCCTCCCTGGACAGACGGCGCCCTTAGCACTTGCCTTTACGGCCTATGCCCTGCCAGGAAATACAATACAGCACAACTTTATTTATAAACCACTTTAAAAGCAACACCGTTGGCCAAAGTGCTGTACACTAATAAAAACACATAAAAGCAAACATAAAAACAATGAACTAAGTAAAATGATCCAATAAAATCAGCAAAAATAAAACATTAAAACCAACATCTCAAAATGACTTAAAAGCCAAGGAGAAAAAAAATGTTTTAAGAGCTGATTTGAAAACAGGAAGTGATGCAGTGATACCAAATACAATTAATCTGAACTAAAAATTAAATAATTGAATAATTGTACAAATGCAGGCAAACTGATGTACCTGACTCTTTGGACCGTAACGGGCTCCATCCTGTCCCCCTCAGGTTTTAAATGGTTTGGGGGCGTCACCAACAACAAAGCAGCCTCACATGTGAAGGGGGAGTTCTGTGGATCAGCAGGAGGAGGGAAGCAGTCTGTGGAAGACATGGACTCCCGTCCCCGCAGCTACACCCTCTCCAGGCACATGTACACCCACGTGGGTACGGCCCCCCGCAGTGAGAGGCTCTGCAGGGTGAGAGAGAAGAGCACAGAGGAGGAGAAGCAGGACGGGGCGGGGGAACATGTTCGAGACTCCCCTCTGCTCGGCGTCCTCTCCTCTCTCAGTTTGACAGCTCTGGAGCAGCCTCGGCCCGTTTCGGCCCGGCCGCTGCCCCCCACACCCAAACGGGCCTCACCTCTGACCTCTCCTCCTGACGGCTGCCTCACAGAGCTGTCAGACCCCCTGAGGACCAAACCCGCCTCAGGATCTGGCAGAGATCCGTTCAACATGACGAGTCGTGGAGCTGCTTCAAAGCAGGACCTTTATGTGCCAATGGACCCTATATGTGACAGGGCTCGGAACCTGTCGGACCCTCAGACAGAGAGGCATCGACCTGAACAGGAAACTCAGAAGATGGCAAACATCTCACAGGAAGTGCACCCTGGCAGGTGAGAGATGATTTAAGTTTTTTTTCTTTTCAGTTTCATCTTGTTAAAAAATTATTTCTACAGTTTTGTCACTTTGTTCAGGATGATAACAGAAAACACAAAGTTCCTCACTATTTTCCTTTAGTAGATAATAAGTTCAAAACAAAAAAAAGTTTTTCTAATGTGGCAAAATATTTTATAATCAATATTTATGAATAAAAAATTTTAATTATGAAAGAAAAATTAAATCCTTTCCCAAAAAAAGTTGCAATAAAATGCCCAAATTTTATATTTCTGTGCAGAAGTCTTAATCCAGCCCTCTTTTCTTTATTTGCAGCCAAAAAAGCTATTTTTAATCCGTTTAAGTAGTTCTCAAGGGTTTTTAAACAAGTATGCATTTTGGACAGTTACTGTTTTTACCCAATAACTGAAGAAATGGCCTAGTTTTGCATATACAAAATATAATATTTAGTAAATTAACATTCAAATATTAATATTTTCTTTTGTCAGCCTGAGGTGAAGTCTCAAAATCTATTTTTTAAATTACTTTTGATGAGAAATATCAGTTTAAATACAACAAAACTGGATCAAAACTTTTGCACATAATTCTGTATGTGAGAAGTCCTACAAAAAGGAAATAATAAAATCAAAGTGCAAATTAAATAAAAACAACAGGCATTTTCTGTAAAATACGGCGAATTCTGCATCAAATCCGTAGCTAAAAGTATTAAATGATAGCTAAAAGCTCAAAGTAAAAGAACTGTAAGATTTAGTGTAAACATGTGTTTAACAGGAAGTTGTTTGAAAGGAAAAAAAAAACATTTCGGTCAAACATAAAACGGTCAGTGGAGGTGACGCGCATGCGCAGTGGCTCTCCGCTTCCTCCCCGCTCTTCGCCCCGCAGCTCAGCGCGGCTGTGCGGGACAGAGATGAAGCGGGTCCCGGACGTTGGCTGTGATTCGGTCCGCTGCGGAGACCAGGAGACCCGGAAAAGGTGAGCCGCGTTTCTGGGCTCAGAAACCCGCTCATGTTGATGTTTTATTTTATTCTTTTAACCTCGAGAATCAAGAAGTTTGTCATGATGTCAGATCAGCACCAGCTCAGAGATTATACAGCTTTTATTGATTTGTTTCCCTCCTGTTTGGCTCTGAAAGCTGAAATCAGTGTTTGTGTTTTGGTGATTTGTTGCCTTAAAACATAAAACCAGAACATTTCCAACCACTGGACTACGGAGCCGGTTCGGTTTCTGTCTGAGGAGGAAGCTGGGTCAGACTGGAAGAGGAGATGAGGAGCTCTGGATTCAGTCTGATCAAACAGCTGCTTTTACTGAAACTCACTTCCTGTTTACCTGTGCTGCTCACCTGTCAGGTGTTTCTGAACAAACATGATCTCCTGCCACAAAGATGTGAGGTTTGAGATGACTCTCAACTACTACCATATATATACACACATGCATACATACATACCATACTCTGAAAGTTATTCAGCTAGATCAGGGGTCTGCAATCTGTGGCTCTSGGGCCACATGTGGCTCTTTGGTCCCTCTACAGAGGCTCTTTGAAAACGTGACCAAACAAAACAGAATAAATTATTTTGTTTGTTTTTATATCCACAACAGAAATCAATTTGTAAGCAAATACGTGATCAATACTACTAATGCAAAAAGTAAAACATGTTAGCTTATGCTAGCCTGTTGTTTACTTAAATAATCCAACTTTTGTCTTTCTCTCAAATCCATCAGAATTACCTTTAAAGAATATTAAAAACTGCATAGTAAGAATTAGAAAAAAAATAAGCCTGAATAATTCAGTTGTACTAATTTTTTTTATGAAATTAGGTATAAACTATATAAAGTATTTTTCTTGTTTACATGAATATAGTCTTTTTATTTGTCCTGAAGGGTAAAAATAATAATAAAAAATAAAATACGCAATGTATTTTTTAGTTTTATAATGTCACCTCCACTGGCCGTAAAAGTTCCCAAAAAGGCCTTGAAAAGTCCCACAGACCACCAGTTGATAATCACAGTTGTAGCTTATTTTGTGGCTCTGGACACATTTTATTACTGTGTCAGTAGCAGAAATGGCTCTTTTGATTGTAAAGGTTGCAGACCCCTGAGCTAGATGTATAAAACTAGTAGTTTCAGTAGATTCAATGGCTCATGAGATATTTTGCTAACATTTTACTAACATACACCACTTAAACAGCCTGTTTAAAACAGGGAATAACAGGCAGCTCTGACACAATGTTGTTATTGGTTCAATTTGAAGGTGGGCGGGATCATCAAATCACCCTTTCAGAATAAAAGCATTGCTTTGTTAGAGTTTGTATTTTTATAAATACGGTTTGAAGTTAGTCGAACAACAAATAACAGATACTCTCACCATATTTTATAGGTAGTCATATTTTGCATTCAATATTTAAATATTGTTAAATCTTATTAAAAATCTTTGATACTCTTTTAGTTTGAAGTTTAGCTGCTAAATATGCTACATGCTACACACAAGGTGCTCAGCACTACTTGTAAGTGGGGATATTTTTTTAAACTATTATTATTTAATTCTGGATAAATGGCATAAAAATAAAAGTTTTACAGTTGTGAATTTTTAGCGTAACCTCATTTTGCTGAAGCTAATCACGGTTTCCAAAGTTAGCAAAAACACTAATCCACTAAATGAGAATTTAGTTTCATTATTAGTGGATTAACAGAATATTTAGAAAGTTGCACAAGGGGGTGCCACATGAAATCTTGCTTAGAGCGCCAAATTGACTAGTTCCTCTACGCCAAGAGGAAGTGACCTTTTAACTTTCTCTGTAGGCTCAGATTTACTGTAAGTTTATGTAACATTACTGAAAGCTGGGAAATATTTAATCTATTATTTGAATAAATCTTTAAATTCCACTTCCACCTCTTATTAAAACCCTCCTGGTCTGTTTGGGAAGATTTATTGCGCCCCCACCTCGCTTCCTGTTTGTAGTCTAGAAATAATATCTCAGCGTTGCCATTAAATTAAAATAGACAGTGCGAAGTTTGCAGAGTTTAACATCTTCAGGGAATCATTCATCTGTAAGTTTGTTGTGTAAAAAAAACATTTTTTTAAAACGAATGTTAGTTTTTACCTCAAAGCATCACAAACAAAAACAACAGTGAGATAATCAGAGCTTCAGATCTTCTCTGGGGTTTGGGAACACAGATTTGAACGCTGGGAGTTTCTCAGAGTTTGTGTTTGGGAACAGGAGGTCACCTCCCCGGACTCACTCAAATATGCTGAGGAAAAGAAAAATGAAGCGTATGTGTCTGCCGTCAGTTAGAAGCTGCAGTTTTTCTACTTTTTCTTCTTTTTTTTTAAACCAGTTTAGAAGAAATCCCCCGGGTGCTGGGGCTGAGCTTTGTGACTCCCAGGAACACCCAGCTTGGTTTGGAGCCAGCTGATGACCGGATCGGCAGGAGGAAGACAGAAACACCGCATCGTTTCCAGAAAACAAACCGTTTTCAGATTGTTACTCGGAGGTTTTCCACGTCCTCCCTGGAGAAGTTGTTGTGTTGCAAGTTGTTGCCGGGCGTTGTCGAATGAACTCACTGATTCAGTTGTGCAAGAAGACACAAAGAAAAAATGTTTTCCTGCTGGAAAATCTTTGGTTCTGCAGATCAAACACTGAGCAGTCAGGATGAAACACCTTAAAGCACTTGTCAAACTCAAGGCCCGTGGGCCAAATGGGGCCCTCGGGTGACTCCCGTCTGGCCCGCCAAAAATTTTTACCTCCGCCATGGGTGAGGTAATGTTTTCGGTCTGTCTGTCCGCCTGTCTGTCGTTCTGTCGTTCTGTCTGTGGACAACACTACTCAAAAACTTGTGGACGGATTATCATGAAATTTTTACCACATGTGGGTACTGGACCAAGTAACACAGCACTAAATTTTGGTGATGTTCCGGATCACATTGCAGATACATGAATTATTTTTCTTTTAACACTCTGACATCGGCAAAGCTGTGATGCTTTCACAGGACGTGGGTTTCAAAGTGTCCAGCAGGTGGCACTGTAGTATTGGTGTGCCCCTTTGTAACTCTATTACAGGATGGGGGAAATTGGTCTTGGCAGAGATTTTCACTCTCAGAGTGCTTCTAGTTTCCTTTATTTTTCTTTATTTTTTTCTTTAAAATGAAAATTGTTTATAATATCAGTGGTAAACTTAAAATTTATAATTAAACACAACAAAATAAACAAGTTTTAAGGGGGAAAGATAATACTTGTCCTGCCTCTGATCTGTTGGCTTTAATTAACTGAGTGATTCTGTTGGATAGCACAGGATTAGCATGTCGATTAGTTCTTTTCATTGTTTATAAGAGGATGTGTTAAAATGCTTTTTCTATGCAGGAAATACCAGGTAGAGCTCAGTTATTGTTTGTTAGCATGGCTCAGTCATAGCAATGAGACGTGACCGTGTTTAGTCAAAATTAAACGTTAAACATCAAAGTTAATTAAAACACCATAACGCTCATGTGGCCCTCTGTGAAAATGAGACACTCCTGCCTTAAAAGAAAAGGATTACTCTCAGCTACTACCACACAAAATGTTACATCATTATTTGTAAAACTGACTGAGTTTTTAGCCTTTTTTGTGTATCTTATATAATATCTTATAAGATAATAAGGTATCTTACGTATGCCCGTAGCGGCCATCTTGAAATGTCTTATAAACGTTTATCCATTAGTAATTTGCTAACAGACAAACAGACATGAGCAAAAAAGGACTTTTTGAACAAAAAAGGAGAAAAACAAGGTTTTAAACTGAACAATCTTTCAATAAATCTTTAAATAATCAGAAAATAACTGTTGAATATTTGGTTTTCTGTCTCGCAGGTGTTCATCAGTGTCCAACGGTGGTGGAGAATATGTGAAAGTAAGCTTCCTTCATATAAGCTTGTTGTCTTTAAAATGTGTTTTTATTCTCAGCTCTTATCTCATAAGATTTAATCTTTAACCCGCGTTGCTTTATTTTCTTCACTTCGTCTTATCAGACTTCCTGTTTTCTGATGTTTTTCTCGGTAAAAACTAAAATATAATTTAGTCGAATTGTCACAGAAGAATTTAGGGAATGTCTTTTTTTTTAAAAGCCGCCTCGGTTTCCGCTGACAAGTGGAGAAAAAAAACGAGGAAGATTTCTGCTTCGTTGGCTCAGGAATGGACCGCTGACAAACGTCCTGGTTTAAAAAAGGGGACAAACTGAGAATGAAGGATGATGCTAATGAAATTATAGCTGACACACACACACACACACACACACACACACACACAC